GATCGCTCGGGCGATCCTTTGGCAGATAATACGAGGCCCATCTTGTCTAAAAAAAATAACCCTGCGTTGATAGAAATGGTCTAGAAAAAATAATGTTTCGCGTTGACCAAATATAATCATGCAAAGTATAAATTCAAAGTGTTTTAATACATTGGTGAGAGGTCGAATTTTGTGTGAACAAGAACATGCACTAAGAAGGAAAAGCAAGTCAAAGTCGAAACGGGGTGCATCATGGACATCACACAACACACGCTGCGACAACTGAGTGATTAGCGACATAATTTTGGGACGCAATTGAACTTGAAGTACTTCTTTGCGAAACTTGCTGCGCGCTGATGCTGGCATCAAGTGTGTGTTGACCGAAGTTTGACCCAAAGTCACGCGCTGAACTGGCGCGTTACCTTAGCAACTTTTTTCTTTTGCGGTCCGCGCGTCGATCTAGTAAAATTTTTATTATATCCGACGGTAAGCAACTTGTATGCAACGCTGTACTGACTTTGAATATATCAACGTCGTTTACTTAGTGCACTGCTTTTCTAATTACGCAAATCTGTTGTACCAGCTCTGAATATTTCAACTTTGTATTAAATGTATTGCTTTCATGATAATTACGCAAACTCAAGTTAATTTTTACTATTGTTAGGGCACTGACCCGGGGTATTGGGTCTGTGAATATTTCAATATTACCGACTTGATAATGCGTTGCATTCGTAATAATTACGCAAACATAAACATTGGCGCATTTAAATCATTAAAAATGATAGTAGTCGGGTATCTACGGAAAGTCGAGAAAATATTTTAAATACTTGTGATTCACCAATGTTCCAATGGTGATTTTTTTATTCGAAATGAAGTGAACATGTAATATAAACCATACCATGCGTCAAGTTAAATTTTACTATAATATAATAAACTCTGGACAGCGCACTTCGATCGCAATATTCACGTACATTTCGACTGAACTCTAATAACCACGCGTTTGAGTTCACGCACTGATATTTAAATTCGGGCCACCCAGCTTGACGCAAATCAATATAGTTACTTGTCATGCGTTCAAAAAATCTTTCAACTCCCACAAATACCATGAACGCGAAGAGCTAACTGGGGGTTAACTGAAAGAGAACGTTTTTTTTTGGAGAAAAAACACGTCAGTACAAGATTATGTGTACAAGGTTAGCTTTATAGAACGTACATCACGTAACGTACGTAAATCAATATAGTTACTTGTCATGTGTTCAAAAAATCTTTCAACTTCCACAAATACCATGAACGCGAAGAGCTAACTGGGGGTTAACTGAAAGAGAACGTTTTTTTTTTGGAGAAAAAACACGTCAGTACAAGATTATGTGTACAAGGTTAGCTTTATAGAACGTACATGATCGCTTAACTCTGTGTTTTTTAATAATCGTGTCGCATGTGAAACGCAGGAGACATTTTAGTTCGCCCATTCCTTGTTTACCGACATTTTGTCTGGAATGCGATACAGACAAAGATTAAACATTACTGATAACAACCAAGAGGTTCGAACCAGGAAGGCTTGGATATTTTAAACTTCGTAAATAACATTCTTTTCAAGCGTAGACTTTATTCGAGTGTAATAATACGCAACAACAATTCGTTTACAGCATTGGTTTTATTGAAGTTTTTAATGCTTTTCGGCTTCAGTGAATTATTTTAGCGTCATATTTGAAATAGCGCGCTCGATACAAGATGTCGGACGGGAAAATTGGGGTCTGTAAGAATGTTTGTTGGTTCAGTCAGGCAATGTGTTGACCAAAACACATCGCCCACTATTTGAAACATTTAGGATGGGCGGGGTATCAGCCGAATCCGGTATATATATATATATATATATATATATATATATATATATATATATATATATATATATATTAATGATTTATGACACATACTGGTAGAGCATATGGCTATGACAGAATTTCGGAATAAAATGAAATGAAAATGTTATATTTTTATTGAAAAATAAATCAATTTTTTCTCTCAGGTCAAAATATAATATGGAATCTGTCACAAGACTAGACACTCATTTGAAATGTAACAATGAGAATGACTAAAAAGATGTAATTTACTACTTTAAGACAGATTAATACCTTACCCCCTGAACAATTATTACTGACACATTTTGATGATTTTGCTGTACTTATTTCAGCAAATATCACCATTCAGAATTTTAAAATTACTAAAATGTGACTTTTTTTTAATGTAATCAAATTCATTTACGGTATATGCAATTGTCTTATTGAAAAATACCCATAGCCAATAAACTGGCAAAAAAAATAAAATATGTTTTTGGTTTGTACATGTAAATGTGTCATTCTTGAAATAAGTAAATGGTAAATTTGTGAATAATTTATATATTAAAATGAACATCAATTCGCAAAAAAAAAAAAAAAAACGCTAAACAACCACTTTTCAAGAAAATGACAAGCATTTATGCAAACACATATACACATAAAGTACACTAAGACAGCACCAACATTACTTTTTCCTCTTTCCACCAAAACAAGGTGCATTTCATATATTTTATAATTATACCAAATCTGTCAAACATAGAAATTAGAAAGTGACAAACTAAAGTTGCCATCTAATTGGGTAAACACTGTAGAATTGAGACAATAAATGTGAGATACCCTTTTACATTATTAAAGTTTATACCAGCACCTATATACCCACTCAAAAATACATATTTATGTTTATTTATACATTGTATATTAAAAGTTGTTTTTACTTACCATGCTCATTAAGTATATGCAGTGGTGACTGTGATGGCGGTGGTACGTACACGAGGAAATTTAATGTAGGATTGGTAGAGACATGTGAGCCTGGAAAAAAGGAACCACATGAGTTGAGGACAGCACAACTTTTTTAACTATTAAACCCCCTTTCATTTTAGCTAGTTTTTGGTAATTCACTCAATGTTATTAAAATTTGAAATGAAATTATTATAAAATTATCATAAATGACTTTGAATAACAAACAAAGTCATCTTAAGCCAAACATTTGTTTTAAATAATTTAAAACTGGTCAGCATGGTAGACTGAGAAGGAGGTTGTTAGGACTATCCATGTCATAACATTCTTTACATTCTACATGCATTTTGAGACAAACAGCAAAACTGTTATGTTTTTTTTTTCTTTTCGATTTTTCATGAAAAGAGAATATAGAAAAATTAACAAAAAAATTCTAGAAAAACATATAAAACTGCGCAAAATATTGTAAAATTATAGGATTAAAAAATATTTGGTGTAACTTCACTTCGTCTACTGTCTTACCTAGTTTTGCTTCCACAGGATTGATGAGATGTGGCAATGAAGCAGCATTCAATACATATCTCTTATTAGTATCATCTTTGGTTGGGGTGACAGCCAATCCCATATAGTACAGCACTTGTGAATTGACAGTGAAATCAGCATATTCTGTCAGTGTCTTCAGAAAGGGATCTAAATAACCTGATAAAAAATGCATTTATTGGTAAACAAACTAAAACTACTAATTTAAAATTACTAATCTTATCCAGAAAATAATAGGCGTTCTACTGAAGTTACGACATTATGTTCCCCAGCATATTTTACTGTTGTTATACCAAACACTAATTGAACCCCATATCACTTATGGATTAGAAGTCTGGGGGGGGCACATATCCTACAAATTTGAAAAGCATTATAACAGCACAAAAACAGATTGCAAGATTGATAACTTTCTCTGATTTTACTGCCCATTCTGCACCTATTTTCAAAAAACTTAGAATTCCTGATGTCCCTAAATTGTGCACGTATTCAATTTGTAATTTTGTATATATTATTATCCATGGTAATTTTTCACACAAACATACAACTTTAAGTATATTCAGCACTGTCACAATACCAGACAAAGGCACCGATGTGACTTACTTGTTCCAAAAATGAATACAACTGTTGAGGAGGATAGTGTATTATAGACCTCCAGGACAGTTGCAGTAATCCACCTGGAGATGGAAGTCGGGGAAACCGGCTTATCCTGTTTGCCAGGGCCGTAACACAAAAACATGTATTTGGTTCCCCGTCTGGAAAACCTGGTACGGTTCTCGTAGCAACTCAGCGCTCGAACCGGGCAGAGAAGCAATTCCTCCTGATCCTCCGGACCGACAATATTTGACAGCCGGGGGATGACGATCGAATGGGGATCGTGTCCTGGAATTTGGTTCTTGGCAAGAAACCCGATTCGTGTCTTTAGTACAACTTGATCGTCCATAAAGGCAGCATAACTGTCCGCGAAGGACAGTGCACCTAGCTCGGCGCCTACCTGAGGCGAGGGCCAGTAGGAAGACTGTTTTCCACGTCAAAAACTTGAGTGGTGCTGAAACCAGGGGCTCAAAGGGTGGTCTGCTTAGGGCTGATAAAACAACTGACAGGTCCCAATTGGGCGGTTCCTTTGAACGGGCCCTGGGCCTCTGATTATAGAAAGCAGTAAACAGTCTCCTAATAATGGGACAATCGGCTAGACTTGACCCCAAAGAGTTTTCTATGGCGGGAGACAAGGCTGACCTGTAGCCAACGTTTGCTGCGAAGGACAGACCCACTTCATCAAACAAGTGGACAAAGAAGTCTGCTACCTGGCCGATAGAGGGATGGCATGGATCAATCTCCCTTCCACTACACCAACTGGTGTATGCTCGCCATTTCGAGTCGTAGGCAGCATTGGTGGAATTCCTGTTCGCCCTGGCCAGAACGTTGGCAGCCCGCTTAGATAGACCTTTCGTCTGCGCGAGTCTACTGAGAGCCTCCATGCGTGTAAGTGGTACACTGCTGGGCTTGTTGGTAGTGTGCCGTCCGGTTGGGACAGCAAGTCCGGTATGTCCGGCAGTACTACCGGTGTTTCGACTATCATTTCCAGCAGGAGCGGAAACCAGGACTTGGTCGGCCAATTGGGCGCCACCAGAGTCAGTATGCAGGTGGGCTCCTGTCGAAGTTTCTCCAGTACCCGGTGAATTAGCGGGAAGGGAGGAAAAGCGTACGCATCCATGTGGGACCAGGGGATCGATAAGGCGTCCACGACCCAGGCTCCTGGTGTCGGCAGGAGTGTTACGTACGTCGGGAGCTTGGCGTTCCGGGGTGCAGCAAACAGGTCTATCTTTGGACCCTCCCACAGCCGAAACAGCCTGGAGGCAACCCACTGGGCGATCTGCCACTCCATGTTCTGGAGACGGAGGCACCTCGAAAGGGCGTCTGCGAGACCGTTTCTCACACCTGGAAGGTGGTGTGGTTAGCTCCACATTGTATTCCAGGCACAAAAGGAGAATTTGCTCTGCTAGGACAGACAACGATGGGGAACGCGTTCCCCCCCCTCCTTGTTGATGTAGGAGACTTCAAGTCGAAAGCGTGAAAGTGCCAGGTGCACTGCTTTCAGCTCGAGCCAGTTGATATGGTGGTCCCGAACCCATTGCGGGGCCATAGTCCTTGGGCTTGTTTGTCCAATAGATGCGCTCCCCACCCTTGGAGGGAGGCATCTGTTACCAGAGTCATAGTTGTGACGAGTGGGTCCAAGGGGACCCCCTGTCTGAGGTTGGTCAGTGACGACCACCAGTACAGGGTTTCCTTTACTTGATCCGGGATCGATACCCACCTGTTTAGTTCCCGTAGGTGAGCTCGGTGTTCCAATAACAAGCGTTGGACCGGGCCACTGCGTAGTGCGGCCTGGGGAACTACCCTTCGAACAGAGGTCATCATTCCGATGAGCCGCATTAGTTCTCGGAGAGACACTGAAGGAATGCTGACTAGGCGTTCTGCTAGGTTGCTTAGCGCTAAGCCTGTGTAAGCCTTACATGTCTGGCTAATAACCCCTTGTCTGGGATGTGTATCAACCAGTCGTCTAGGTACGAATTGATGTGTACCGACATTTGGTGGAGCAGCAGTACTACCTGATTCATCACTCTGGTAAACACGTAGGGCGCTGTCGATAACCCGAAGGAGAGCACCGAAATTCGAATACTTGGCCCAGATGGGCGAATCGAAGGAGAGGGCAACTCGCTGGGTGCATCTGTATGTGTAGGTAAGCGTCGCAGAAGTCTAAAGAGGCTAGCCAGTCGAGACGGTGGACGGAGAGTAGGACACTGGATGGTGTCTCCATGCGGAACCGATCGAGAAGCACATACTGGTTTAGTCTGCTTAGGTCCAGAACCGGACGCCAGCCACCTGTAGATTTTGGTACTACGAATACATTTGAGTAGAAGCCCAGACTTAGTGCCGGCTGAACTATTCTGTGCATGGCGCCCTTTCTTAGCAAACTGTCTACTTCCTGTCTGACTGCTTCAACCTTGTGGGGGTCCCCTGGCAGTGCCCCCGATGGGGAGAACACTGACAGGGACGGAGGAGATGTCAGTGGTATTCTGTAACCGCATGCGACTACCTGGAGCGTCCAGGGATCAGTTACCCGCTGCCTCCAAGCCGGAATGCACCGGCGCAATCTGTGTGCGACAGGGATCTGTGGGTTCTCCTCTACCATGAGGTGAGCCTCCCCGCAGATTACTGGGGTTACTAAGCTGTAGCTTAGTCTAAAACGGCGCTCCGCTGCACAGTAGTAGCCTTGGCTAAAAGAGCCATATAACACTGGAAGATATCGCACATAGCCGTGCGGTGGCCTACCATTAGCTGTGTCGCCTGGTTTAGGAGGCGGGTGCGTTCTGCGTCTGAGGTCTCAGAGTCCTGGGCACGCACAAGAATGCACTCCAGTGTGGCGCCCACGAATTCAAGAAAATTGATGGGTCGTAACTCTGCCCTCAGGGCATGTTGGATAGTCTCAGAATGGGTTTGTTTGTGGTACCGTGGTCCAGGGAAGGAGCCTTGGGGTCCGGTCGGGGTCTTCTGGTTTCGTCCCACAAATTGGGGTCCGAATCCGAGATTGCCCTGATGGGGTAGTGTTTAGTCCAGTTTATGCAAAAGATTACCCCAGCCCGGGGCTTTCGGCATTACCTCCTCCGCGGCTGACTAATGGCCACCCTTCAACACCGTCTGCTGGCTGAGAGGCCGCAGTGGAGACAGCTCGCTCCGCCTACAGGTCATCTACTCTGCCTGCCAGGGACGCAATTTGCCCTGACAGTCCTTCGACCAATGCCCTCATTTCAGTGACAAAACCGGCGCCATGTGAGGATGGGTCCACAACGGGACCCAGCGCGGGCCCCATAGGAGGAAAGACCTCCAGGGGCACAGCCTTGCTGTTGCCGGTAAAGTTGGGTAACCCACTGCCTGAAAAAACAGACTGTGTAGATGCCCTCCCATCAGCGGGGAGAGACAGCAATGTATCGGCACCCCCACTATCGGGCCATTTGCTTGGTATTCCGGTATGCGAACAGGTAGCCGAGTGCGAGGACTTATCATTCATGCCAACGCACCACTCACTAACACCTATGCCGGTAGTACTTGCCGCGCGACCTTTTCGTGAATGACTCCCAGGTTTCCGAGCCCCAGCGATTACAAATATTCTCTGGGCAGACACCCAAACCCCGAACGCACGTGAAACAACGATAGCACTTTGTTTGCGGGTTCCATTCCTGCAATTGCTGTGCACACTACAAATCCGCCTCGTAAACTGAGGAGACAATACCGGCGGTGAGCCTCTGGCGTTGCCAGTGCATCTATAAATTTCTAAATACATTAAAAATAAAAGACGACATGCATGAGGGAAAACAAATTACAGTTGTAAAAGGTGCCGCCATGAAATCAACATGTGATTACATAGTGGCGCCGGGTTTTAATTTCTTTGCTGTTGAAGCATAACACACAAAGGGGAAAACGACACGAGGGTAAAAAGACAAGAAAAACTTATCCTACCAGCTTGAATGTCGGATGCCGCAGCTGCGGCGACGACCCACGCTAGAAACCCGGAGAGCCGCTCAGAATCATTCCCCGTCGAGGCAGAGAAAAATGAAGAGTGATTAACGGCTACCCATGCCGCTGCCATGTGGCCTCGGTCACGTGGGTTCGTGACGTAAGGGGTAAAAGAATCTTGAGGTCATGGGGCTTCCCCTGACCTAGATTCTATCTCTCCGTCACCGGCAGAATAGCTGATTAATGCCTACAGTTCAAAATAGTCTTTTTGACTGACCGGAGTCTATGGTGGGTAATTGAACGTAGTGAATTGCACATTTCATTTTTTTATACATATTTGAAAAGGTGACATGTTACAAAGTGTACTGTAAAATATAATCATTTTCACTAGGAATTCATTTTTCGCTGAAGGAGAGTAATTCAGTGAAAATTAAAATTCACCGAATATACCTTTTTTCCTACATTTTTCATTCAACTCGCCAAAAATCAGTAAAAATAAATTCCATACAAAACCCCGAAAAAATTATTTCAGGGAAAATTAATTCCAGCTAAAATATGAAGTATTTTACAGTATTAAGCTGTAATGTTAGAGATTCTAAGTTTATTCAGAGACCTAGTTTGTAAGTAATGAAAAACCTCCACTTTGTTATTTAGCTGAGAATATAATGGTGAATTACTTGCACAGATAGTGTGCAAAAGCAGAAATTAAACTTTATTTATCAGCTTTAAATTTGCAGCATCAACAAAAAACACCACCTGCTGTTTGACATGGTTTCACAAATTATATAAATTGGTTAGTACACACTAGATAGATCAGAATCTAATTTGGCAACTACATGTATATATGTCAGGTCATTTAAATATATCCATAATGCAGCTGGTTAATTTCACATGCGTCACTAATAATGCAAGAATGTTTACCTCATTTAAGATAATGGCCAGGAAAACTGGGAAAGCATAATATGAACAAAATTTTGAGAAATTTCCTTTGGATGGGGACACAGAACTAGCCAAAATGTGATGAATCAGTATAGACAGTGAAATATATATATGTTTAGTATTTTAATTTTAATATATGCAGTATATGAGATGTATAAAGTGTGAAAATTAGGAAATACAAGAAAAAGATCATTGGGGGTATTTAATTTATATCAGCGAAAATAGTACCAGTATGGGACAATAAAATCTGTCAACAACATTCAAAAATAATTACGATAGCAATCTTTGGTGGAGCATTATTACTACCTTATACTAAAATATGTTTGGATATTTAAAGTAGTAACAAATTCTTACTTCCGGTTCGGTTAGACTTAAAATATACCACAAATATTTACATTTGAGATACAATTGTTGGTATGTGTTGGTTGTATGATATTTCAGATTTGTCATCCTGTACTTTGTTTAGTAATTTGGACTTCTCAGATTGTGTAAAAACGAATAGTTTAGCGATTTTGACACTGAAAAATGTCTGGGCTAAATCATTTGCTGAGGAACAATCACTTAGGTATGTGCACTGTAACTTGCAGCACATGAACCTAAAAGCGTTAGGCAATCACAAAAAATGATTTTTTACTAAAATACATAAAGTATGTTCAAGGTTTACTCTCACTTATTATGACACCCTCAAAAACGAGTAATTTCCATTCCCCTCATGCTCAACTCAAAGTTTTTTATGCTTCACATGTTTATTTGCCTTCAATTACTTGTTGGTGGTCGTTAATCTTGCTGATAACGTTTTGATTCCAATTTACGTCACTGAGAAAATTCAATTTTTTTTGTCAACTAAATACCAAAAATCAAATTAGCATAACACAGACATTTGTCGCCATCTTTATTTTTTCTTGACCCATTTTTTACACCACGGACAACTTGAACACTTAAATCTTTGTTTGGAAGTTCACATGCATTAAATTGTGTTTTTTAAGTCGCGTACCATAAAATGCATTTTAGAGTCCCTTAAGTTTGTTTCAAAAACTGCAGTCGCAGTCGCAGTAACCAGAACATTGAAATGTTTGTTATGAAATTCACATGCATTATTGTTTAAAAACGTTTTTGGAGTCCTTCAAATTTGTTTTTGACCTCTGTCACCTGTTCCCCCAATAGGGTGAATTAAAGATCTAACGTTTTAGATCTTACTAAGACAATATAAAGACAATAAAACTCACTCCTGATTCCTTCAGCAATGTCCCATTTAGCTATGATGACATCAGGACTGGGATTTAGTAAACTGAACGTGAGCTCGTATCCTGGTGTTGATCTCACTGACCGCATACTCTCCACATCAGCCTGCAATCAATATCATTATCTGATCAACAACCAATATTAATTAATAATCTAATCAGTATCAATATTATCAATATAATTATCTCATCAACAATCAAATCAATATTAATATCAATATCAATATCTCATTAACAATTATATAATAACTATCTCATCATCAATGAAATGGAAATTGAATAAACCCTAGTCTGATGTATCATGATAAGCCTACCTCTGTGTGTTTCACACCAGCAGCTGTACCATGTATCTTGGCAGCCAAAGCCTCATTTACATGTAGCTCCTTCACAACCTGAGCTGCAAGAGCAGCCGCTGATTTCAAATCTAGCAATGGAAAGGTTAACGGCAGAATGAGTACAAGTAATTGTCTCTGTCACACTAGCCACTACAGATCTTTGCTCACAAGCCAATATTATATTTTTCACAAGGACCACTAAATATCTCTGCTCACATGCCACTGGATCCCATGGTTCCAATTTTTAGCAACTAATTTTTTACAGAAGTACCTGCATAAACCCACATAATTTATGTTCACACACATCTCCATTCACAGAGCCGTGACCTAGTCAATAAAATATGCAAAGATAACCACATTTTCGGTGAAAAAATTGCATTTTTACAAGCATTCCAAATAATCATGTTCATTATAAAAGTCACAATTATCACAGATTGCAGTGTCATAGGTTTTCAAACATACCAGCATATGTAAATTGTGAACAGATTTGGACAGTTAAAACAATGATTTCAATAGTTTTGCTGAAATCGAAGCAACCTTACAATCAACAATCTTTGCTTACAATATGGCACAATTTGTTTAAAATTGCCTTAAAGCAGCAGCACCTCATAAAAGTATTGATATATTGTAATGTATTTTCATATATTTAATTGCAGGTGAATATTGTAATTTATAAATGTAACTTTGTAATTTGTGTTCACTTTTTATCTTTAATCATTTTTTTGTCTTGTAGTTTTTAGTGACCTTCTGCTGTACTTTCCAAAGTCAGTGCTGTGTCATTACAAAATAAGCAGATTTTCTTTTCATGCCGATTATAAAACAATATCACAAACCTATGAATCATTGCATTGCATTTGAAACTTTATTACAAAATATGGAATAAGAACAATATAAAGACAAGAATGACCAGTAGTTTTACCTTGTCCAGATACAAAAGCATGTCTGTATCTGCCAACATGAATCTTTGAAACATGGAAAACACCACTGTAATCTTGTAAAATATACACTATGGAAGAACCTACTGTAGATTCCTGGTCCAGCAGGTAAATATCAGCATCTAAATCTGAGAAACGAAAGGAAAGATAATCCTAATCAATCAAGTGCACTACCAAGTAACTGTAAGAGCAGTGCATGTGCACATTTACCGGGTAACTGTTCTTTTATTAATCTTCCTAGATGGTTTTACCTGCATGTACATCACATGCACTATATGCAGTTCATTTAAACGTATTATGAATATAACAAGCCATTAAGTCAATGATGAAGCACTCGCAAAAACATTCAGTTTTGATTTAAGATTTGAGTCAAGTTTTTGCGTCAAAAAGTGTCATTGTTGAGCAAAACAATTATAAACTTGTGTGCCACATCATAATATTTAATAATTGCTTTGACTGATCTTCACAAAGTAACTAAAATTAGGAAACATATTCTTAGAATTCTCATAATATTGTGACAATTTGGGTTTAATTTCCCTTGAATAAAGTTTAGCATGAATATATTCCTGTAACTGAGAGTTTTAATTATACAATGATCCATGATCTCAGATTGATTAAATGATGTGCAATATTTAAGCCTTTGGTGAGAACAATAATTCTGAACATGTCTGCAGTTAAAGAAATGAACTTTCATATCATCAGAAATTATAAATTTAAAGACAGTACATGTATTAAAGAAATTGGGGAAGAGTTTTAATCAAATTTAAGAAAGTTGTGGACAAATTTCAAGGTTTTTCAATGCCAGGAATTTGAATTCCAGTGTGCATAGTAAACTAAAAAGTTTGTATAATAAGCTTTGAGAAAATATATAATATTTTGGATTAATACCATCTTCATTGTCTAATTACTCAATTAAAAGGAAGCAAAATAAACTGCATCTGTATCTTAATTTACTGTAGGTTTCTCAGAATTACAATGTATACATTTACACAGGCAGCTATTAACAGTACCTTTTAGTGTTGATTTTAGGCGAAATACGTCTGTCTCTCTTTTATTTGCACTTCTAACGTTCACAGCATAATGAAATGTTAGTCTTGAATAGCGACCACTGTAGTCTGAAACAAAACATAATTTTATAATAGAAGGCAAACATTTTTCAAAAAATGATAATTAAAAAAAAGAGCTGCCATGTTATGTAGGTAATGGGAGGAAATACTGATCACACTAAACATGATTTTGAAAAAACAAATTTTATTTTGACCAAGTTAAATCATAATGTTAAAAGTGGTAATTAAGCTGATTAAAAATTAATGAGAATTGCATGAAAGGAATGGTGATCAAGTGTTGTGTTGTGTTCTGAACCATGGGAGACGCGAGACAGCATGTTACGAATGGTTGACAGATTGGAACACAGCAGTACTCAGTGCTGTTGTTAAGCATATGCCAAGTTGTTTAAAGTTAAATAATTGACAGGGGGTCAAAAGTCAGCAACGTTTATAGAATTGTACAAAGTTATAGATACCATGTAATGCTGGCATTTTTCTAAAAAAGGTTGCATTCAAGTTTGATGATGTATTGAATGTGACTTTAAAATGAAAAGCTAGCACTGTTATTTAAAAACTAGTCTTGAGAAGTCGTCAAATGAGCTATGTTTTGGCATCTTTGGAGATGACATCATGATAATATAATAATAATTTTATTGCATCCTTAGAAATAATATTTCTGTCAGTGTACAGCAATAAAGGGTTAAGATATAAATTAGTTTGAAATGAAAAACAAACATGATCAGATCATTACTAGCCCATGGAGATCGCCTGTGGGATATAGAAAATATCCAACATGCTGTACCCAAATATGCTAAAACTTAACATGGAAATTATGTAATCAATATGCACAGATTTCAATCAAGAACTACATAAACATGCCCTTACCTGATACAAGTGTGTAGTCTAGATGATTTTGAAGAGAGTTCAGATTATTTTGGCTAACATCACCACCAACAAGAACCACAGTCACTGGAATCTTGCAAAATGTCTGTAGATAAATTGAATAATGAGTAAATTATATCATTTATCGCTCATTCACTTTAAACAATTTTTATGACACGGCAAAGCCAGCTGAGAGCCAGCCTGGAAGTTGAGCCTAGCTACCAGAGACCACCCTATATGATGCGACACAGCTGAAGTAATTAAGGCAGAACTACAACTGACAACGAAGAATGCAGGCCAACAACACCACACACTTTGATGTAGCCCATAATCTGCTAAGACGCCTTCTTCAAGTTTTAAATCCCATTCATGCCTTAGCAGATAAAAATAACCTTTATAGTATTCCACTATAACAATGATTGCGACAGGAAAGGCACAGGGACTCATGGGTGATGGTTCTTCTCTGGAGATAATAAAAACTTCTTCTATTGATTATTATAATAAATTTATTGCATTCTTAGCAATACAGTTTCCATTGTTGACAGCAACAAAACACAACAAATATTAAGTAAAATTTCAGTGGTTGCTATTTTAGATTTCAAATAATTTGTATAAAAATTCACCAGTTTGGTTATTATGTTTTTTCTTGAACACATAATATATCTATAAACTTGTGTATAGTGATCAATATAGG